CCTGCTTTGCTTGTTCCAATGTGGTCCTCCATATTGTTTGGTGGTGTATCTAGGTGGTGAATACATGTGCGACAATGAGGCTTACTTGGAATGAAATCTGGAGCCTCCAACTTGTTCTTTAATTTTCCAGTCAAAGTATTCTCAAAATATAGTATTTGAAGTTCATCCTTGATAACTCTTTCCACACCATGGCTGGCAAATCGAAACCTTAGTTTAAGGCCATTTTCCTGTTCCCTTTTCAAATTTGAGCAGGTGATTGAATTTGACAAAGTGACCAAAGTTTGCTTGATCATGGGATCCGCGATAATATTTTCCACGCAAGGGCAGGAAAACTGCAGCAATTCATTCTCTTTTATGCATGCTTGACTTGTTGTGATCTACTCCTCAAACTGTTCACCATGCAAATGTTTTGTTGTCTGCTGCATCTTCTTCTTTTTTTTCTTTGTTGTTGTCTTTGAGTTTGAGGTTGTTGTATTGAGCAGGTGTGCATTGGTTGGAGTTGGTGTTGCTTCATGTTGTTCGTACATAGAAATTGCAGCAAGATCATTTGCAATCCCCCTGTTCTGCTCTTCAATTCCTTCAGATTGTTCATTATATTTGGCAGCCCATTTTTTGGATTTGCTAACCATCTCTGTCGAAGCTGATTGAGCAATTTCATTGGTATTTGCTGTTGATAATAGCAACTGTCCAGGTTCGCCTCCATATTCACCAAACAACTCTATTGACTGTAAAAGTACATCAAACACCGAAGTATTCAAGGTGACTAATAGTTGTCTAGCCATAGTAGTATTCAGCACCATTGCGGCCTGCGCATCTTTAATAATTTTTTCCACATGAGGACTGGAAAAATACAGCGTTGGAGTATTGGAGCTGTGCGCTTGTTTATGCATTAGCTCGCTACCTTGGCCAGTCTTTTGTTTGCTCTGTCCTTCCTTGTTACCATCAATAGCTTTATAAGATAAAAGCATAGCCTGTTCAACATTGACACCATTAACATCTTGCCCCTCTGTGTGTACATACTCCCCAGCTGTGTGCAATGGAGCATTGACTGCAATATCCTATTTTTCACTAGTTGGTAGAGCTGCTGCTGATGTTGTTACAACACCAGTAACTTCACACTCCAAACCCACAATTTCAGATGTTGCCGATTGACTTTTTGTGTGTGGTATGTGCAGTACCTTTGCCCCTTGATTTTTCAGCCTTAGTAGTTGTTCAATCCACAGTTGTTTTCAGAGTAGAAGTTGGTTTCCGAAACTCTGTTGTTGTTTGCTTCATTCCAACTGAAAGTTGAGGTTGATTAGTCACTACAGCTGCACACTCCAATTGCATTACATCTACAATTGTTTCCTCAACTTGTTCCTGCTCCAGCTGCAGTACCTCATCAGCAATTCCATGACCTGATGCCACACCTGTAGTTATGTTCTGCTCCTGGAACTGGAGCTGTTACGACATCATTTTTTCCACCTTGCGTATTATTAAATGAGTCTACCCCTTTGACATCCACTGCTTGTTGCCTCTGTTTAGTTGTGTCCAACTGACCATTAAACACACCAGCCCTTTGATCACTATTAACCAAGCCTCTTTTTTCATTTAACATTTGCCTTAAGTTTCCTTGAAACTTCTCCCCTATATATTCAGTTTCCGGAGCCTCCATCTGTTTTTCTCTTGAAATTTTATTCAAAATGAAACGACAAACCTCTTCTTCATGACCTTGGTGCTTGCACGCCTTGCAGTATGAAGGTAAGTTATCATAGATAATCTCCTAGAACACCTCCAAAATCTTTCCAGTTGAGTTATCAACATGCTGTAAATGTATCCGCTTCTGCAACTTATCAGCGAGGTCAAGAATTACCTTAACTCTAGCAGTGCTAGGTCTTGATCTTGTTTGAGTAGACTTATCAATTGCAATAGGGTAGCCAACTGCAGAAGCTATAGATAATAGGGCCTTTTTCGCAAACAGTTTCGGCGCAAGGTTTGGCATTGATATCCATACGATTGCCTTTGTTGTTTCTTCCTTGGGATCAAATCCAATAGACCATGGGAAGATTCTACACTGATTCTCCTCTCCCTTGAGCCCAAAATAAGTCACTGATCTCGTCAACGACATTACGAAATTGTCAAACTGATCAAACCTTAATAAAACTTGTCTTGGTGCTAATAAGCCAATCAAACAATGACCCTTGACTCCAAGTTGTTTGGGCAGTATAGTTCAAAGTTCCTTCAAATCTGGTGCTCATGCTGATACTTTTACCACGATTGCCTGGTGCAAACCTTCCTCTTTTGCAAACTGTTGTTGTTCCTCCATATCAAAAACCAAAGTTGGTTCTCCATGGACAAATTCTACTATTTTAAGCTGTGTTTGATTCAACAAACCAGTTGATTTTGATTGAGTAAGTCGTCCAACATATGTATTTGTATTTGCGATTTTTGGCCCAGATTCAATCTGGGAAATTTCAGAAACTCCAGTGTGTTTTTTTGCTACAGCATCTCCAAAATCCCGAATTGCAGCATCTTGATTGGGAATCGACTCTCCCATAGCTTGAAGCTGGGGAGATGGCTGCACATCTATGGCAGCAGCTACAATCCCATATTGATTATAGCTTCAAACTACCAACTGTGAACCTGGAGATCAACAATCGCGATGCTACAGTAATCACCTTGTAAACTCATGAAGTTGAAGCAACTGGACTTTCTCGTGCTGTAAAAAGTCACATCCACGTAATATAATGCAGAAGCTTAACTATTTTCGAACGAACTAGGCTGAATCGATGAAGATGACTGGTTGCTACAGTAGAACGTAAAGACAAATTAAGATCTACTGTTGGATGGTTATTATATTAGGAAACAAACAGAAAGAAGTTGTTTGATATGAGAAGGATGATTTGATCCACCCTAGAGTTGTAGGTCTTGACCTTTTTTTCGTTGGCTGCAATCATCTTCTCACCTGACTCGATCCTTTTGGTGAGGTCCTCGAGCATCTTCACTATGGCGGGGTCAGGTGCTGACCCGTTATTGCTTGATCTTTCAGGTACTTGCTCGGCGGGGGGAGCTACCTCTGGTACCGCTGTGCTGGGAGTTCTGGGATGGATTTGCAACTGAGCAATGGCCAGCTACTGTGCCTGCAACATTTCAAAAATTACATGAAGACTAACTTCCTTTTCTTCCCAGGTTGGGGTTTTTTGAGCTTTTTGTTGGTTGTTGTGCCGTATGCTCCTATTGGTGTGAGAGGTTTCGTCGACTTGTTGTGTGTCCTGTGAGTACGCGTCCGCTAGAATCGGTCCAGGCACATTATCTGGATTCTGTAGTTGTGCTCCAGCGACCGGGACAACCACACCATTTTTCCCGTGATTCTCGAGGTTGTTGTTCTCGATTCCGTTTACCGAGCCAAACATTTTGATCTGAAATCAAAGGATCTTGGACAAAAAAAGTGTGAAAGATAATAGGCGTTTGTGCAATGAAACTAGCAAGAAGATAATTACTATTATTTTTAGCCCCACGATGGGCGCTAAACTATTTACCGTGAAAATGGTAACAATAATTAAATTTGTAAATGAGATTCTAAAAATATGTGATCTTTTCTCGAGCTAGTTGTTAGAGCAGTTGATGCTAATAATATGAAATTTAATAATGAAAAGTTAGCTAAAACGAGATAGTAATTGAACCGTAGGGCCTGATGCCCTGGTATAGGTCTGATCGATGAAGGACGTCGAGGTCGAGCTCGAGCTATAGAGGATAGTCGGGGATGGGATAACAATTGAAGATATAATTAAACAAGGCTCTTTATGGCCAATACTAAGCTATATGACGAAGAACAAGTAAGAAAGCGATGAATCTCGAGGTGACTTCGGGTCAATATCATGTGACAAACAAAGAATAGACAAGAAGATAGCAAAGCCAAATGACTTCGAGCCAGTGAAGACAAGCGAATTAGAGAGGAGAAGGAGAGAGAGAAGATATTGTTGCACTTTTGTAGAATAGTTGGAGCTCTGCCTTTACAGGGTGTTAGTGACTCCCCTTTTATAGAAAAAGGGGGGAGTCCAGTCTTAGTACAAGATACGTTGTGTGATGCAGGAAATAGAATGGGACAACCGACTAACTCCGCGATATATGCGTGGGCCGATACCGAGCTTCTTGAATAATCCTGATCGACCCCGAGTGCATTCTTTGAGAGATACTTGCATTTGCTGAGGCTTTGGCCGAAATTATCCTTGGTAGACTACCGCTCGATCTTGCAGGAAGTGACCGGCCCGAGATCTCGATCTCCCAGGATCACCCTTCGAAGTGTTCAGTCGAGAAGAAATCAGTCTCCCAGATTTCACCGTGTACAGGTCCCTCCCCCTCCCCTCCATTAACGTCCAAAAAAGCTCGTGCGGACCCCACCCGTCCCGTTAAAAGTTCATATTATTAGTCCCACATCCTATCCAAGCCTTCTATTGTTGTGGATTGCTTGTTTCGGAGTCAAATTTGCAAATCTTCAATTTTTCGAAAAATTTAATTTGAGGTATTCCAATTTAGTTTATGTGCAAACTCGTATAAATAATGCATATTAGGTTTTTTGAATGTGTTGTATGTTATTTTTTTCTTTAATTAAATTGGTATGTTATTTTTATCCGGACTAAGATATTAATGTTGTAAGAAAATATGTAAAAATTGTGAAATCGTTATTATTTGTTAATAAAAATATAAATAAATTACTATTACTGTTTTATATGTATTTTTATGATTACAATGTATTTGTTGTGTTTTATCTGGTTTAATTATTTTTTTGTTTAAAGACTAGTAAATTAGAATGCCTTTTAGGGTAGTAAAATGTAATACCTTTTAGCGTAGTAAAATGTAGTGCCTTTTAGCGTAGTTTCCTTGTAGTTTAAGTATCTCTTATACTCACACTACAACAAAAAAAGCTTTTAGCAGCAATTATTTGGCAATAAGCTATTTGTCACTAATTTATATCTAAGATGAAAATTTACCCGGCAAATATACTTTTGCCAGGAAAAGGTCCATCTTTATCGGTAGTTAACAAAAATGGCCAGTAAAAGAGCAAATTTTTATTTTACCTTCCCTCCAAAAGTTAACCCTATTTATTTTCATTTCCCTCTCTTGCTAATCCCGCCGTAGAATTTCTTTCTGTTTTACTATTCATATCCCTTTTGTTTTTTGATTACCCTTTCAAACTTTCATGATTTTAAATATTGAGTTATTTACAGAAACTCCGATGTGAAGGTAATGGTTGACTGAATATCAATTTAGGATAAAATTTTGTGTACATTGATCGATTTTTGTCTCTTATTTACATATTTTTAATTTCTCTTATGGGTGAAAAGGTATCTAATTTTCTCATGCTTCTTGTTGCCATCTCTTTCTTCATCATGCATCTCTCCCTATGTCAATCATAGAATTGGAGTAAGTAAAGTCTCTTTTTTTCTTTTCTTTTTTCAACTTTACAATAATATGTGTTAGTTTGATTTTCTTTAGTTTGACGCTTCTTTGTACTCGTTTTGTAATCGTAGGAGATTGGGTTTAGTTTTGGTTCATTTGTTTTCTCTATATTGCGTATGGTCCGGTTCTGATTCATCTTTTAATATTATATGCTTGAGGTGTTTTATTCTAGAGGATGAATTTAAAAGCCCTATTTGGTGTTTGATAAAATGCCACAACAAGATAATGTCATTTGAACAGTTATATTTATATTATTGCTATGTTGTTTAACAAGGTTCTTTAAATCTTTGAAAGAAGAGATATCATTTTCAATTATTCGTATTAGTTATAATTCCTTTCTTTATGAGTTAGATCAGATTCGATTCACAAGTTAAATTTCGAAGAACAATATAAGTACCTCTAGGTAAATGTTGTTATTGTTTATCAGTGTTTTTATTTGAACATGAAGATATTATCCTAAATAGAGAATAAATTTTGAATTGAATCTGTAATGAGAAATTACATCAACAAACCACATGGCTCCTAAGAATAAATATATAGTGAGAACTAAGGAGATATAAGGACTATAGCATAAATTGAATAGGATGAACTTTGGTTTAGAGGCAAAAATTGGAGAAAATGAGAACAAGATAGGAAACTGATGGGTGCAATAATGGTGCAGGCACTCTTTATATTTTAGCTTACTAGAAAGTATTTATGTTTACATTTTTTTCCTTAGATTCTATCTAGTTATGCTATTTTCCTGTTTTTTTTGGGTAATCGAGTTAGGTGGATAAAGTTTTAGAATTAGTAGAGTCAAGTTAGAACGATGTACAACTGTTTGATTATATTAAGTTTTGCACTACCTTACAGTTTTGGATATATTTTTTCACAATAAATAAGCTTTTACTTTTTATTTGTACCTTTATTAAACATGAAAGCTTTATTGCCAACACAAAGAACTCAATGTTAGGGATGTACATTGTTGTTACCATGTAGATGGGATGGCATATGGTAATCAACAACTGAAGATCACGAACTCCAAAAAAGGAGGTTTTCATATGCACTAGATCTGAATTATTAATATGCAACACATAGTTGCATAATTCTTTACTTTTTGCTATTTTAAGTTCCCGTGGTATATCTCAACAGGTCCTTAGCCTATGTTGCAAAGTGGATGCAGCTTCTAGACAGCACAACTCCTCTTTTTAGGTAATAACATGTAGAGTAATTTTACTGTCACATTAATTGCCTCTGTTTTATTTACAATATACTGCTACTTTGTGCTGCAGATAATGGTAGGCAGGAGGTATACTTAGAAGTTAGGATATTCTTGTTTAATTGTATTCGGCTCTGTGTTTAACTAGATCTCCGAACCATATGTTCTTTATTTTAATGAATTCTTGTTCTTTAAATTACACAGTTGTAATAGTTGTTATGGTGTTGTAGTTACATGTCTTCTTCCTCCACAGTTACTAAAAGCGACTCATTATTTTAGGTACAGACTATATTATCATAGTTTCGTGAGCCTAAATTACTAATAGAAAATCAGAACCCACAACTAGGAAAGACAATTGCTATTCTTGAGTTTCATATAGAAGAAAACAAACTTGTGAAAAACTTATTAGGGAATACTTACACCTGATGGAGCATTCACTTGTTCAACGGTGCAAAGATTTGTGCATGTTCCCAAGCATTCAAGTACGTTATATTTATGATAATGAGTATATTCACTAGTAAAATGAATGGTATTTTACTTAATACCTCTTTTATATCGTGTCTCAATATTAGACTAAATCAAGCTGATAGATACATATTCAGGATTGACATTAGATGTTTAGTTGTTAAAACTTAAATTCAATCTTTAGATGCATTCTTTTATAGTGTGACAATTTGGATCTTAGTGTTGTACTTGATTTTGCTGGTATATTCTGTCATCCAAATTAAAAAAATACTCTAGATGGTTACATATTTGTGTACTATATGGGGACCGAATGTGTGACGACCCGACCCGTCGTCACGTGAGTTATCGCCCCGTTTCCCCCATTTTATGCTTCTTCATGTTTCGTTACCGGTATTCGGTGTGTTAGAGTTAAATCGGATTGGTTTTGATAGGAAATGAGACACTTAGTCTCTTTTAAGAAGGTTTAAGTTGGAAAAGTCAACCGGACATTGACTTATATGTTAGAGGACTCGGATTTGAATTCCGATGATTCGGTTAGCTTCGGGGGATGATTTTTGACTTAGGAGTGTGATCGGAACTAATTTTGGAGGTCCGGTGTAGAATTAGGCTTGAACCGGCGAAATTAGTATTTTGGCGAATTCCAGTTGATAGGTGAGATTTTGATCCGAGAGTCGGAATGGAATTCCGAGAGTTGCTATAGCTTCGTTAGGTGGTTTGGGATATGTGTGCAAAATTTCAGGTCATTCGGACGTGGTTTGGTCGGGTTTTTGATCGAAAGTGTATTTTGGAAGTTTTAGAAAATTAGGCTTGACTTCGATGAGTTTTGGGTAATTTGATGTTGTTTGAGGTGTTTTGATGATTGGAAGAGGTTTGAATAATGTTATGAATTATGTTGGCATATTTGGTCGGGGTCCTATGAGGCTCGGATAAGTTTTGGAAGAGTTTTTGGAAGATTTTTACCGTTTGAGCATAAGCATATAATGATCCAAAGGTCTATTTTTAGTTCTAGAGATCGAAATTTTATTTCGAGATTTCCAAAATTTAAATAATGAAATGTAGGAGTGATCTGGAAAGTTTGGTCTAATTTCATCAAGTCGCGATTGAGTTTTTGACGCGAAACATGAGTTAATTGTTTAACGAGCGAAATGGATATCGCACTGAGCAAACGAGCTCCGAATTGAGTTTCGATTGAAGGAATATGTTCATATCATTATTTGTGACTCATAGGAACAAGAATCATCGAATTCCGAGTTCGTATGATGGAGTTAGAGCCATTTTAGTGAAACGAAAAAAAAAGTTGCAATTTTTTTGGCTGCTGCTGTAATTTTTTAGCAGCGTGAACAGTAACCGCGTGTGAATAGTAACCACACATGAACAGTCACCGCGCGGGTGAACAGTGACCACGCGCGTGAACAGTAACCGCGCAGTGAAAAGTTCTTCCGAAAAATTAACATTTCATCCGCGAACCCAACCCATTTTTCCACCATTTTTGAGCAACCTTGAGAGCTTTTGGATGGGAATTGAAGGGGTTTTGACGGGAAATGATTGGAGGTAAGTCCTATGAACTAAATACATGATTATATTGTGAAATCATCCTTGAAATTCATGAAAATATAGCCAAATTGTAAGAAAATAGGGCTTGAAATTGAAATTCTAAATTTGGGATTTGAGGGGCCATTTATGGTCCGATTTGAGAGATTTTTGTATGTATAGACTCGTGGCGAGATAAGGAACCCGATAACATAAAAATTTCTGAGTTTCAAGACATGGTCCCGGGGCTCGGGTTTTGTCAAATTCGTGAATTTTGATATTTTTTGAGTGTTTTCGATTGGGTATTATCCCTTTTGCATAATGCGGCATATTCATTGAGATTTTGGGCAGATTTGTCGCACGAGGAGGCTAATTTGAGAAGCAAGGGCATAGCGAGTTAGAGCTTTGGCCAGTTTGAGGTGAGTAATTAATGTAAATGATGTCATGAGGGTTTGAAACGCCGGAATTTCACTTCGTAACGCTATATTGACGTGACTTGCACGCCGGATAACGGGCGTGGGGTAGAGCACCATTGGGGATTGTGACATGGTCCGTCCCGAGCGATGTTTTTACCGTATTTTCTACTTGAACTAAATTGAGAATCATCCTTACGTGGATTTAATTGTTACATTTGGGCTTCTTGCCAATTATTTGAATCCTTCAGGGATTGACATCACTGTTTTCGCATACATGCATATCATTTGATCTCAGTCCAAGGTTTTAAATACTGTTTTGCAAACTCAGCCATCTTTCTAAGATTTGAGAATTT